TACACTTTTATATATTTCTGTGTGTGTGTAAGTGTGATTGTGGGTGGAGTTGTGTGAATTGCCGTGTTATTGTAGATCCATTTGTGCTGCTTTCTCGGTGGTTATGCTCATCCTTGTTGCTTGCTTATTGCCTTTGAAGTCAATATTTGGCTCAGTGGGTAGGTCAGACTAGTTGAAGTACTTTGGTAGTAGTTAAAAAGGTGTGAGAGGGAGAGAAGAGTGGGGTAACTGTTAGAATTAAGAGCTGGTTCATTGCTTTTGATGTTTCATCAATGGTCTGTGAAGTCGAAAGTCAGCTATGTATCAGCTAGCTATATAGTACAGTCGTCCGATATGAAGAAAATGTTCGAAACCGAGGCCGTTTTTGAAGTTACATTTAAGAGGAATCACGAGAAACTATAACGGAGGAACTAGAGGACTGATTTTGTACCCAAATGCTCAGTGAAGCACGAAGATCAGTGTTTAGTTGAAAGTAGCTTCCATATATTTTTTAAGAAACCAAACTAATATATGCACCAAAGGCTTAGTGCGTTCCAAGCAGCCTTGAGCTCGCCAAAACAGCTAAAGTGTCGAACCTTTAGTCAAAGTTTCAAAATAAGAAAACATGACTGCTGATGTAAATATTTGGCCCGTATACAAATTATCAAATTTCCGACTATCTATCCTTCCATTCGCCTGGGACCGCGTTATTTTGAACATGATTTGAAACTTGTACAGGTTCTCCTTGATGCTGGAAGGACGCTAATGTTGTTTCTGGATGCGATTGGAACAATTTTTAATCCCGTTCACGTAGAAACTCTCGTCTCCATTAGCAAAAAATGGAAGACAATTCCTTCCGATAATCCAACTATTGACAGTGCAGGTACACCAGTCGTTGTGGTTTACGTGAGTACTTTCCGTTTCCCAACCTCATGGTGCTTAAAAGCACTTATATCAAAACAATGCGTTGATCAGCACTCCAAGTATTAAATGCTTTTTGCAAGTATTATTGGGTTCCAATTGATCCGGTGGAAGTGATACCTTTTCCACCTTTATCGGATTCGAAGCTAATCTAAAACGTATGCCGTGCTGTGGGTCTGACAACCGTCCGTAGTGCGCCTCCACACTGAACTGAACTTTCCATTCTACCTGCCTTAAGGTTTAAATCAAAGCCCCAAAGGGCCAAACCCAATGGACAGAGGGCTCCTCGTTGAACCAGGCTAAACTCTGGTCAGACCTTGTTGCTTCTGCTACTACCAGTTGAGCTTCCGTATGTATTAGGAGGAGTCTTATTCAAAGTCCACAATATCATTTCAATGCGAGTATTATAGCACTGGAAAGACTATGCTGAAATTTTGAGGCAAGCCAAAAATAGTCATAGTACATATTGGTTTTGAGTCGCCTCTTACGACAGGCTACGAAAAGTGCAGTTACAGTACGGGATCAGCAGATAGTAGATGATTCCTTGACAAAGTCTCCAAACAAATAGCAAAGCCTTCCCGAGCGCCAATCCTAAACTGGCTGCCGTGATTTGACGAGTTCATTTTTGCTTGCGGTTCCATAAGTTACCCTCCTTTCATCACCAGTAACCATCCACTTTGAAAATTAATGGCCTCAGTCGCCATTTAGCAGTGACTCGCAGTTGGGAGCTCAGTCCATTAGGTGAGCTGTTTGTGCGTTAATTTATGTGGCGAATTCCTATTTGCTACTAGCTGTATTGAATTGGTTCTATTCGTGCAATGCTTAGCTCCTGGACAATCGAAAGAGCAAATAAATGGCAGACGGACCCGACGATTTCTATTATTTACAGCTGTTATCGCGGAATCGGCGAAAGCAAAATTCATCAGAAGCATAAACACTCTTTACATCTTGAGCCGTCTGGGTAGTGAATTCGTTTTTATTTAAGAAAAACTATAATACATATATATATCGGAAAACCTTTATCTCTAGAAAACTACTTGATCGAAGTGAACTAAATTTTATTCATGAAAAGGAGCGAAATGGGACTAAAGGCACACCTACTTCCACTATATTGATTTAAATTTTGAAATGATAGCTAAAATGTCAACAAAGATAAAGGACTAAAGAGGCAACTCTTATACAAAATAGGTCTATAATTAGTTCATACTCTTCCGTAGACCTTGCGGTAAATTAAAATGAGTAAAAGGCGATGTTTTCTTATCAATAGCGGCTAATGGCAAAAATCTCAGAATTGGATGGAAGGATGTGGATCTTTTTCTAGCCTTTGTATACCCATTATGTAATACATTAAGCACTGGTTGTTTTTATGCTCGAAAGATCGATCGCTAAAATATAGGTCTCAATGAAGTCAAATGGGAGTATTTTACGCCACAGAAATAGATTTTAACTCCGACTTTATTGACATATTTTCAAAACATTCCCCAGCCGAAATATGGAAACTTTACACATTTTTCTGTTTTTGAGTTCACGTGATCTTTATTTTAATTGGCATACTTTCTATGCACTGCTGACTGTGCATTTGTGAAGTCGTTTAAGCACGCCAAACTTATTTATATGCAGATGCAACAAGCAAGTCGCTACGGAAATGCTCCAACTTCGAAACTCGATATCGAATTTCTCCAAGCGCCAAGTGTTCCCACAACATGTAGCGCCGCGCAGTGTGCTTTTAAATGGAAACGAAACATTCAGCATCTGTTATATCGTGCTCCCCGTTAAGCTGTTGCTGCTCCATTCCCCGCACGTCAGCCTGCAACACGAACGCAGCTGTGCCGCACGACACACTGAATGCAACAAATCGAAAAATAACCCATTGTTGATCGCTGAAGCATGTGGCATGTGCCACAGGCGTACACACCAACGCACGCATGCACAGCAAAAGACACACACATACACACTTGCATTTAACAAAGCAGTGGTTGAAACAGTTGAGCGCAGTAGACGTGTAGACGAAGCAAATGAGAGTGGAACACCACTTCCTGATTGTTGCGCGGCGCGCTGTTGCTGTTGCTGCTGCCGCGGCCGAAACTCCTGTCCCTAGTTCCACACACACATGCAAGCGACAGCTGCTCTTTCCACCAGCGCTTGGCTGTTGCTCTAGTAGCTGTTGCTGTTGCTGTTATAGCCATGTTCAACAATCTTCGCCACAATATGCGGCGCACACACGCATATACTTGCATCTTGGCCGTGTGTGTAAGCGCCAGTTCAGTTGCCAGCACGTTTCGTTCGCAGCGCGCGCTCTTCGTCCTTTCGTGCCAATTGGTGACGTTCGTGTTACGAACGTGTTTCTATTCAAACATTTCTTGGCAACGAGCGCCACTGTTGCTTCGTGCGCCTTCCTTTGCCGTGAAGCAACAGCTCAGCGGCACGAACGCTGGCCAGAGCGCCTTCTGAGCGTTTCAGAGCGCGCTCTCCCTCGTCTTTCATTGCAATTTCGTTTCGTGCCGCACATTGTTTTTGTGCTGTTGTTGCGCGCTGTGGGCGCTCAATCGCCTTACGCTACCGCGGGCGTGCAACTTGTGCGCGCTAGGGGTTGCACATATTGGCACCCCAACGACTGGGAATAGTTTCACTTGCCAACGCGTTTGCATGACGTTAACGTTGTTGTTCCACTGCCACTGCGTACCGTTTGAGTTCCGCTCCGACGATTGCCTATGCGGTTGTGGCACGTATAAAAGCCGCTGTACATTGACCACGGGTTCTCATAAGCCTCCAAGGGTTGCTTACGTTCGGTTCGCATTTCTCTTCTCTCTTATATAATATTCTCTTGTACGGATCCTTAAGTTTTTTTCCACCTCAATCAATTCTATGCATTGTTATTTTTTTTGTACAACAAATTCTCAAACTTAACTCTAACTTTTAACTAAACTTTTTTTAAACAACAACAAAAAAATTGTAAAACAATAATAACAAGAAAACAACGGCGCGCAGTTATACAAGAGCGTAAAATAGTGTTTAAAAAAATATTGAAATTAAAAAAGTAAACGCAAGTTTGTGTGTGTGTTTGTGGGAAAGACGTGCGCGTAACGGTACATGCATATATATTGAATTGTATACGACATTTGTTTAAAACTATTGCATTTTGCTACGAATCTACTCAAAATTGCTAAGCAAAAATCTATAAATTACTTACTTGCTTTCGTATACTTTCCGGCGACCGCCTTGACTAGAACGCCAACAAGCGCCTCGCCACGCCACGAAACAGCCGCAAATTGGGTGGCCCTAAAGTGCAAAGTAGAACGTCGCGCGGCTGACAACTGAATCACGGATTAAAAATCAATACGCAGTCGAAGAAAAGTTTTACGAAAAACGCATAAAAACACACACACGAAACGCAACAACAAGAACACAAGTGCAACACAACGCCAGCGAGAACTATAAACAACAGCAATCAATGGCAACAGCACGCAGTTGTGCTTGAAATACAACAAAAACAAGTTCGACTACARGCAGGCGTTACTTATTTACAAGCATAACCAAGCATACATGCATATGAATGACTTAAAAAACAAAAAACTTTAAAAAGTAAACTATTAAGCATTATTATGCATTAACAACAACAATGGACAGRAAATAAGCAATAAAGACAACAGCAAATGTTATTGAGAAACTGTAAAACACCGAAAAGCTTAAAAATTGCTAAAAAAAAATTTAAGAAAAATATAAAAACTGCAGAAAAAATTTTGAAAATTAAACGAAATTAAAAAAAAAATAAAAAAATTTAATTAAAAAAATTGAAAATATTTTAATTTAACAAAAACAATAAAATTTAAAAAAATTTAACAAAATTTTAACAACGAAAGTCGCGAAATTTACAACAACAAAATCGCATGGCAGCAACAGCGTGGCAGCTCGAACAATTTGGCATGCCAGCAAAAATGTGCCGCAAGCAGCACTTTAAAACCAAATAAAAGTGGCATGCAACAAACTGCAGCAACATCTAATGTTTGAACCTTAGTTGACCAAAACTCTAAAATTTCGTCGGGCAAACTATATACATATATACTAAACTCGTATGTAAATGTAAATATATTTAATAAGAAGAAAGAAGCTTCGAACTCTTCAAGAATTCCACACAAACAATGTCTAGTGTTTATTTACAATTGCCGCAACAACAACAATAGCACCAAACGCTCAACTTTTACTAAACACACACTTAGCTCGCACGAAATATCTAACCACTTTACTGCAAACTACTGGATTTCACGCAAAAACATCAAAAAACCAAAAATAATAATATCCAAATAAAACCAAAAATTTCACGCCTCAAACCCTCCCAATTGAGTTCGGCAAAACATTTGCCAGCAGCAATTTTTCTTTAGCACCAACATCACACCCGCCACCACGCTAYCATGCCACGCTGCCTGATGGCGAAGAAATGGAAAGCTTATCCCTGGCTCGAACGCATCGAGGATAATACGACGGCCGTGGCGGTGGCGGACGACAGCGACAAATCGCAAGCGACCGTTTTAAGTCACGAATTGTTGCACAAACGCAGCGTGGCGGCAGCATCACCCAGCCCGCAACAGCAGCAACAAACGCAGTACAATAGAAGATCGTCAAAGTCGCGGCGCTCCACCATCGATGATGATGAGGAGATCGATGTAGTGGGTGATAATGCGCACGCTTTAGCCGCAGCCGGCACAGAGTTGCAGGATAACAGTAAAGTTATAACAACGGCTGCATGCAATGCAGCTGCTGTAGCGGCTGGCGGTAATGGTAGCACACCAACGGCTACGTGTTGGGGCCCTTCGTCGCCGACAGCGGGCGCTACAGCGCCGAGTCCACCACCACATTCACCAGAGGCGGCAACGCGCGGTGCAACGGCGTTGTATAACGGTAAGTTTTTATGAAAGCAAGTCCTGTAGAAAAATCTAAAAATTTACAATCGAGGGGTCGCAAGGCGTTGCTGAAGTAAATGTTTTCTCCAGTTTTTATTTCCCTTAAAAAAAAAAAATAATAAAAATTGTTTTTGAAAGCAGGTGTCGAAAAAAGCGGCGGAAGGCAGCGTTAGCGGGAAAGTAAGCCGTTTCTAGCGAATATATTTCTTCTTGTTCGCGAACTCATATCCTTTGAATCTTCTAACGCTGATGGGAAATATTTCTGCCTGCCTCACTCACTAACCTCAATTTAGGCGAATTTTTCAAAAGTCGAGAGCAAAAATCCTTTCTTATTTAGGCCCATCAAATTAATATTCAGCTTAAGTTCTCGAATCGTCACAAAAATAAATACACTTTTACCCACCTTAATGTGTAACGTGCTTAAATTTCATATTTTTCAGACTATGTACTCTCATTTACTGCGTTCAACTCTCTTTTATATTCAAATGTTCAGTAAATAAAACCTCGACAAAAATCACTTGGAAGGTCCTTAACCGCGGCAAAATGCTTCTTACTAATTACCGTCAATATTTTTGTTTTTGGTTTTAATTTACCGCCTGTTTTAGTATTATTTTAGAAACGAACATTTTTTTTTACTAGAACTATACTTTTTTGACTTAAGTTGGATTTCATGCTGACTTGTGTTTAAGTGTTAATCTGCAGTTTTATTAGTGTTCTAACTTGCGGTTGAGTGTTAAGCAGCAGTTTTTCATAATGTAACCTGCGGTTAAGTACTAACCTGCGGTTAATTGTTAACCACAAGTTTAATTATTATTCTAACTAGCGGTTAAGTGTTAATCCGCAGTAAAAGAATTAAATTAACTTGCGATTAAGCACTAACCAGCAGTTTAACCAGTGGTTAGCATGTATGTAATAAAGATAACTTCGTACACATTTTACCGCAGCTTCATTAAGCGATTTGCCTTCGTTCAATTCAGAGAATCTGTCGGTTAAAGATAACATTAACTTAACGATAAATGATTACGGAAAAAATTTTAAAATTGTTCAATGTTAGTCGACGCTAATTTGTACCAAAATAAAACTGATTTATTATTTTATTTAACTAATTTCCCGAACATTCTTAATTCTGTTAGTAAAAAAATTATTCCTCCAAAGCTCTTCATAAAAGTCGTTTAGGCGACGTTAGTCGGTTACACTCTCTCAGAATATTTTGGCAATATATATTTTCAGAATTTTTATCGTGTTTATCACACTTTAACTTTATGCGTCAAAAAAATTGTCTTTAGCAAACTTTCCATTAAACATTTTTAGACGAAGGAAACTCTTCAGTTAAGTTTGTTAACTAAAAGTTGGTCAGTTAGACCTTCTTATAATACACTTTTAACTGACAATAATTTTTTTAACTGTCAACAATTTTATATCATTATATCCAGTTATGCGCAAACCACCATTTTAGCCAGCGGTTAGTAAATTTGAACAAAATTTTTCTTCTGCTAACTGTCGGTTAAAATATAACCGCGAGTTACTTGAAAGTGTAGTGATCCAAAAACTTTGAAAAAAAAAATATTTCTGTTAAAGTTCGTGGAAAAGTTTTAGGGAAGTGAAGTTGGTTTGGACTAATTTCCAAACTTTGAAGATGAAGATTGGAAGAATTTTAGTAAATTGGTTTAAGAACTAATGAACATTCGCATATAATCGAATATTGCAAATTTTTTGTACAGCCAGGAAATTTAGTTTTGAAATTTTCGAATTCAATTTTGTTGTCTCGAAACTGTTTTCTTTGATAGAAAATGAGGTGAATCTTGGAAATTTAGTTTTAAAATTGTATACCTATCATTTACTACTACTACAACCCGAATTCTATGTGGTTATCTCGAAACTTTTTTCATTGATAAAAAGTGAGCTAGAAACAAACTTATAGCTTTTCTAATGAAATTTATATTTTTCATGTCTTATAAGAGCTATTTACCATTTCTCCTTATTTTCAATTTTTTTCACGTGTTTACTCGAAACTCGTATCTGAAAGGTTCTTGTAACTTTTTCTGTCCAACAGCTGACTTAAAGCTAAAAACACGAAATACATATGTACATACAATAAAAACCAGTTCGTTGGTTGTTAGTCCTTAAAATTTACTGAAATACATAAAAGCAAGCGTCCACTTGTTAAACAGGCCCCTGCTGACGCAGACACACACACACACACATACACCAACAACAATTCAAGTTAACAAAGTGAACTGTTGGAGCGAGTGGCGCGTGGGGCAAGCAGCAACTTCAAACTGGTCGCCTCTTGAGACGTTTGACTTCTGCCCATGGACAAACCTCAGACACTAAAGCAAGTCTGTCCGGATTTCGTACGCCCCGCTGTTGCGCTGCTTTCACGAGTCATTGTAACGGTCACCACTGCCACTAATGCGGCGCGCTGCTGTAGGGCAGCTGTGCAAGAAATGGGGAACGAGCGCGCAAACAACTGTGTTGGTTTGCTGCAGCGGAAGCGGCGGAGAAAGACAGAGAGCGCGGCGCTGAGCGGCGATCCTTTTTTTGCGGCGGTTCGCAGAGTTTGTTGCTCGCGCGTGAGTTGGCAGTAAATTTTCGTGTTTTTGGTTATATTTACGTCATTTCCGCTTAGCGTTTCTTTTAAGGCGCGGAAGCGGAATGTACGCAGCGTAGTTGTTGCGGCAGTTTACAGTGTGAATATATAATTTTATTTAAAAAACAAAAACCAATACAAAAATTTTTTTTAAAATTTGATTGTTGTATAAATGTTGCTTTTAATTTGCACACTTTTTTTCACAATTTTAATTAATTTATTGGTGGTGTTGTGGCTTGTCATTGCCGACGGCGGCTCCATTAGCTCACTTGTGGCATTTTTAGGCTTAGGGTGCTCCAGCTTCTCTAGCAAATTACTCTAGAAAATTACTTGCCGCTAGTTTCCAAAATTTCCGCAATGCGTAAAAAAATCTTAATTCAGTGTTTCCCCACAATTTTTTCTATCCATCCGGTTACTTATATATATCCGTAATTTTTTTTGGAACATTCACTTTGGTAAATTTCTCTTACCCAGATTGCCATCTGCTAGTTGCACCGTTTTGTTTTATGATTTTTATTTTCCACTCGCGTTTTTGCTTCTGTTTTTTCTTTTTTTTGCTGACGCTTCATTTTCATTTGAATTTTTGCTGTCTCAGTAAAACACGCATTTCCGTTTCCGTTTTGGCAACTTATGTTTTTTGATTATAAACACTTGCTGTCTAAGGATTTGGGCTAGCTCCAATTGCTGCGTATGTAAGTACATTTCAATTTGTATATTTATTTATACGCCGTACGTGTATACTTGGGGATTTTAGCAGCAGCAGCGGCCGGCCACATCCTGCGTCGCACAGACAGCAAAGCACAGGGAACTAGTAGAGGGGACAATATATTTATTTCAACTAAATTTCATACAGTTTTGAGCTACAGCAACAGAATCAAAAGAAAAATATTCTATTGCGAAATGTTTGTATAGAAAATTTTAAGTATTATATTAAAAATTTTTATTAAGAAAATTATTAAAAAATTAAATTTTCAAAAAATATTTCGTTAACAAAATGTAATAAAAAGTTTAAAATTTTGTTATAAAATTGAATAGAATTTTTTTTTTTGTTTGAAAACAAAACAACAATTATTAAGTGGAATGTTTAAAAAAATAGTATGTACATTTTATTACATGGCGCAGAAGTCAAAGGTAGTAGTATAATATGTAAAAAAAAATTTAGTAAAATAGTTTGAGCTTTTGTTTAAAAAAATAATATATGTATATCAAAAAAAAAAATATATTGGAAGATTGTAATAGCAATTTTATTCATATATGATATGATATATTAATAATTTTCAACTCAATCTTAGAAAACTAAAATCTTGCTGGTTCTTGGTTAAAACTTTGGTTTTTTTTTTCATAATATCTATGAAGTTTTGTGTATTCTCAACTTTTGTATTTTTTAATTAAATATTTGAAGAAAAAAAGGTTGAAGAAATCCTGCCACATATATTTTAATTTATAATACTTTTTTATTGAATATTTCCGAATTTTTCATGATAAAATATATGTATGTACCGATAATTGCATAAGACCAAAAAAATTATTAATAAAATTTTTTGACTTTTATGGAGAAACTTAAATTTTTTGTCAATATTATTTATACTTGAGTTTTCAAAAAATTTTCAAAATATTTTTTTCCAAAAACCCAATTTTTTTTTTTTACATTTGAGTGCTCAAAAACTTTCCAATTTTTTTTTCATAAACTGAAATTTTTTTTAAGGTTACAATTATTGAAATTTGAGTTCTGAAATTTTTTTAAAAACTTATTACATTAACCCCATTTTTTTATTTATTATAATTAGCGAACTCTCAAAGTATTTTGTAAAATTTTTACTTTCTTTAAATATAAAAAAAAGTTTTTTTTGTTTTTAACATTTATACATGTATATAATTTTTTTTTTCAAAATTCATGATAAATCATTTCCAAATTATTTTTTCATTAGTAATAAGTAAATTAAATTAATGCGAAAACTTATAATCAATAAAATAAATTTCCAAGCAATATATTTATTTGGAAATATTTTTTCCATTTAATTTCAAACAAAACAAAAAAAGAAGAAATTAAAGTTATTTTCAATATTTTCTGTGAAATTAAAGTTTTTGCGCAATACAAAATAAAAAAAGAAATAAAAAATATTTTCAAATTATCTTCCTTGAACTTCAGGACTACTCCAAAAGAAATTAATAAAAGAAATATTTTTGAAATAATTTTAAAAATTTCCTTCCGTTAAATTTAAGTTTCACCCCGCAACGCAAGAACACATGTAACCAACTTTCAGCTCCCCAATGAATATATTAATTTTGTTATTTTTTCTCCTTTTGTTCCTGCTATAATTGTATTCAAGCACTTGTAGTTGTTGTTGCCAACGCCTTACCGTCTTAAAGCCTCCAATCAAGTTGCCAAGTTGGTGCACCAGCTTCAA